CAGCTGCTAGGGGCTGGGATGGGCAGACACTATTGCACAGATGTGAGATTTATCTCCACTGGGCAGTATAGGAGTATCTTAGAACTACAGAAAAGTACTTATAAAATGCCACTGAGCTTTTCACTTTATGATGGTCAGTGTTGTTCTAAGTGGATTTTACCTCAAAGAATTTCTTTTAAAATTTGATGCGAAATGTTGGGCATGATGGTGCCCAACTGAATTCCTTGCAATCAGGAAAGGGACAGCAGGACAGATGTTGATACAGGGCCACCCTAGGCTACACAACAAACTACAGGCCACCGAGGAATAAACAGTTAGACCCTGTCTAAAAACATGCAATGTTTAACAAATGAAAAGTCCAACAAGCTGCCACCAGAAGACTTTCAAGAACTGTCCAGAGAAGCCCTGCAGAGAAAAAGAAAATAACTTAGGACAGAAACTCAGAGCTAGTCTGTTTTTCCATCTTTCAGACTGGCCCATTGGTTCAATGAAAAGGAGTGAGAACTGAGTGCTTACAACGATAAGAGGGATGAGTGACATGGAACTAGAATTCACACGATGTTATAAGGGATGGGTAAGGGACTGGGAACCCTTTTCATAGTTGCCTTCACTGGCCAGGACATAGTACCACATTACTGGACTCAAAAGAAACTTTAAAAAAGATTTGGAACTAAATGAAAATGAAACCACTAGTCTTCAAATTTTGTGGGATGCAGCAAAAGCAATGTTTACATAAAAACATAAGCCAGACATAATGGTTCATATATGTAGTCCCAGATACTCATGCCACTGAGGCAGGAGAATAGGTTAACCTAAGAGATCAAAATCACACTGAGCAACATAAAAGACACCTCCTAATGGGGATAGAGGAGAAAACATATAGCAAAGTAATAATGACAAGGTTAATTTTTCAATCAAAGACTAAAGAAAAATATTTATGACTGAAGAATAGATAGCCTATTTCAGATAGCAAAACATCATGAAATTTTAATCATTTGGATAAGGTAGGTAATTTTAAAATGAGTTTTTTTTTTTTTTTAGAATTTTATAAAGTTGAAGAAATACCTCAAAACAGAGTGATTAGGAGGCACTGTCCAAAGCAATTTACATACAACATCATATTCTAACTTTATCACAGCTGTAAGGTAGTAATAAAATCTCTATTTTCACTGAAATTCTTCCTCCTCCAAGAAACAGAAAACCAGACCCATGATAGATGAAGCAGGTTAGGGAAAAGTCCAAGATCTGGGCTAGCTCCGGGGCTCAAACTACATCACCCATCTTGGACTATGTCCAAATCCCAGTTCTGCTGCTTCCTGTGTAATCCTCCTTCTGAGGTTCACCTGTGGCCCCACACCTTCAGGCTGTTACCCCATGATGCTAATGGAGCAGATGCAGCTGTGTTTCGTGTCTTTTCTTGTTCCTACATTCAGTAAGAAGAATTAAAGGAATTTTCAAATTGCCGCCACCCCCCCACACACACACACACACACACACTTGAGTTCCTGTGACTGGCCCAGCTAGGCCAGGTACCTCCCCTTGGTGATGTCACCATCATCATGCATAGTACCAGAGTTTCCAAATAATTTAGATCAGTCACATGTTCACTCACAGAATAATGCCCAAGACTATTAATGGGGATAACTGATAGATGTTCAATGACAGGATTCAGCAAGGCCTCCTTTGTAAATAAGAAATCCATAGTTTAGGAAAGTAGAGTTGCCCCCCCCCAAAAAAAAAAAAAAAAAAAAACCAGACATTTAGAAAATGAGTGTATGTTGTTTAAACTCAGGTCTAGTAAAAGCTTTAACCACTTAGGCTTCAATAAAGACTAGTCTTAAGACTGTAAAAAGGTGACCTTACTGCTTTCCTAAACCCATCACTCGCTGTAACATAGCATACTTTTTCCTCAAAACAAAATAAAAACAAAAACCAAAGCAAAACAAAAAAAACTCCTGAGCTACCATGTGAAAATTCATAACTTAAAACTGTGAATTTGACTTTTAAAAGTTTAATCTGCTTTTATGAGCTTCAAACAATAAGAGCTAGTTCAGAAAGTTCATTACCAAGAAAAAGTTGTAACGTTTAAGTTCCAGAAATATGTTATGTATACCAGATTCATATCGGCTTTGGGACCTCAGTGACAGAAGACCTATTTTCTGGCTCAGTAACCTCTGTAGACTTTACTTTGTGGAGAACCTTGCATCCTCCTGTTTTCTTTGCACTTCCACGTGAATTGTATTCCAATTAATGTACAACATTAATTGTCATTCGGAACAGGAGAAAATCAATAGAGACTTCTGCTTGGGACCAAGATGCAAGAGACTCTCAAAGGACCCCAGTGGCTCAAGCTTGGTTCAATGGACAGTGCGGGAGTGCAGATTTGAGAGGGATAGGTAATGTCACTGTGAGCTGAGGGATTAGGTCCCCGGGAGGCCAGCAGCCTCAGGGACAGCTCTCTCCATGTTTCCCTTGGCCTTCAAAGCAACCATGAGAGACCCTAAGGCCAGGAAGGATCACTGGAGGTGGGGGCGAACGTGAAAGAGCCAGCACCCGGCAATACACAACAGGCCAGGAGTATCAGGTCATACCGGGAGACAAGGCTGGACAAACAGTCGAGAGACGGCCAACAAAACTCCCGACTTAGGGGGCGACAGCAAACCCACTGCGAAAAGCCACACGGGCCAGCGCACCTTCCGGACAATGCACAGCCCGGCTGGAGTAGGAGCTGCAGGAAGGATGTGAGATGGCACCAGACGGCCTAGGAAGAGTGGGAGTGGCTGCGCACGCACGCCTCGCCAATCCCGCCCTCGGCGCGCTCCTCACGATGACGTAGCCGGATTCCCGCTGACGACACGCGAGGGGCGGGGCCGTGACGCAAGCGCCGGAGCATCAAGCGGCTCGCGCAGCGGATAAGTCGAAGTGGGCTTGTGGCCCAGCCCACCGGTCAGCAGGGCTTGGCAAAAGCAGCGAGCGTGCGCATTCAGTGCCAGGCTCCGGCGAGCATGCGCACTCCGCAGTACGGAGGCTGCTAGTTGCCGTGGTAACTAGGAGCAGTTGAGCCGGTGGCCCCGAGGTGGGGAGGCTGGTGTGCGTTTGCGCTGAGGCTTGGAGGAGCGCGGGTGCTGAGGGAGGCGGCGAGGCCAGGACGCCGGGTAGTGTTGGGGCGGAAGCATGGGTGTCGCGGGAGGTCCGGGCCGTGGGCGCCCCGCCTGGCGTGTGGTTTGATGAAGGACCTCATGGGCCACGACCAAGGACATCACTCAGCTCGGCAGGAGTATTTAGAACTAATATGCCGTGTCTCGTGTTCCTTTTTATTGATGTGTATATAAACTGCCTTCTGTTCAGTTAGAGCAATAGGTGACTAAAGGTCATGTCACCAAGTGCTGTGTCCTCCTACCTGGCACAACCTGCTACCCATGTGCAAGCTGAGATTTACAAACAGGCAATTTTCTGTTGTCGCTGTTAGTGCCTGGCAAAGGTTAAGTTTACCACTTTCCCGTTGCCAAACTAACAGGTCACCTCTTCTCCGTTTATTTTCTCATACAGCTGGACTAAACCTGGTATGTTTCGAATGTTTTTTTAAAAATTATAGAATCTGCTGATTAAGGTGGGACTTTGATGAGACAGATTTTAAACGCTTGATATTAACCACAACGGTATAATAAAAACTAAGTGAAATTGTAGACTAAATAGCTACCTATGGTTAACAATAATATGAATCCTGCTGGAAATTAAACAATACTTGGTCTATACTGAATTATAGGCATTTTGAACTTGGAAAATTATGGTAGTGACCGTGCATTATTTTACATCTCCTTTTCCATCCTAAGCCATGGCAAGGAACATTAAATACAAACTTCTTTCATAGATCCCCATGCCAGAACTGAAAAGGAACAAGGAGGAGGGCACAGTGAAAATTATCTAGGCTGCTGAAGGAGCTGAGCAGCCACTGGTTCTTTTCTTACTCTTGAATCAGGCGCCTCACACATTAGTCCCTATGGAACTCACTTCCCTGTAATCTTTTACATTGTAGTGCGGTGTATAATGCGGTGGTTTAAAACAGGGCCTCTTAGCATGCCGGGAGACTACTCTGCCAGCACCCTTCTAGAGGTCCTTTGATGCTATTCCCTAGGTTGCTTTTTTAAAGATGCCCTGTTTCTCTTCACTGTGGAATACTATGAACTCTTGCCTTCATAAAAATAACACCAATAAATAAATAAATTTATTAAATAAAATTACTGTATGAAATTCACAAGATATTAATAAAAACATTGCAAACAGAACAAAAAAAATATCACCATGGTCCCCAAACTAAAAGAGGCAATACCAGATACTTCCCTTGGCTTTGAAAGGGAATTGGAGCAACAGTAACCATTTACAGTGTATCTTGTGCAAAACAGTCCTAAGCCCTTAGGATGTTTTGTTCTTTTGTACAAATAATCCTGCAATGTCAGTGTTTTTTGTGTGTTTAAGAGGTGCAAAAGCTGAGCTGGAGATGTTTAGATAGCTTACCCCAAAAAGCAGAAAGCAGGTTGGGACTTGGTGAATCTTCTCCCTATTCTATCCCATCTGTCTGATGGTCAGGTTGAAGGTAGCCAACATGCCCTTATACCCACTTCTTCATGGTTCCTTTCTCCCTGAAAAACAAACACAACATGCTGTTTTCCTGAACAACTTTGCTCTTGCTCATGTTATCTAGCATGCTTATTTCTCTCTTCAAGACTTAAATGTTGTCTTTAAGGGTTGTTCACTTCCTTGGTGTCTGATTTTGGCCTGAGACTTTGTCCGAAAACTCCTGTTTTTGCTTTAGATTGTTCTTTGTATTCACATTCATTCTAGCACTGTGGTAAGCTATTGGAGGACAGGGATGGATTGGGTTATGACTGTGTAAATTGGAAGGCGTAGCTCCATGCTGCCCTGTAGCTGGCATGCCCGGTATTATATCCATAACCCTAGCAGATCTGAACATTTATGAACACTCTTACTTTCTGTTCACAGCCGAAGAACAGAAGGAACTGTAAAGTGTTGCTAGAGTTTGTTGAAGCCACACCACGGTGTTTCCTGATTGATCATGTTAAAAAATAAGGTATTCCATCTTTCTCAAAACTGACCCTTGGTTTCACTCATGGGATATAGTCTAACTGGACCTTCTTTGAGTGTAAAAATAATTTACAAACCTTGTGTCCATGAGGAGCTGTGAGCAGGAGTGGGAGGTGTATGATGTGGGTAACAGACAGTAAATCACTAAGTACTGCTTGCAGGCTTCTCCTGACTCAAGGACCTTGTCCTGCAGGAAACGCTATTAAGGTTTCACCAAATAGCTTATGCTTAAGAGCATAATGTTTGCCTGGAGTCTACTTTAGTTATAGCAAAACAGCAGGGATTCATTTAGACATACCCAGGTTTAAAAGTATTGGTCTATATTTAAGGCTCCAGTAATTATATGAAAAGGTTTCCTTTGTTTCTAACAGACATTGGGCCTGGGATTTGCTCTGATTTGGGTACAGTGGCTCTGGCATTCCTTTCCATTGTTTTGGTAATATGCCATTAATGGAGCACCAAGCTTCAGCTTTCTTCTAGAAGTTGTTGTTACCTATGTTATATACTGCTCCAATCAATAAGATAATCCCAACTTCCTACTTTTTAGGATTGTTCATCTAAAAAGGGTAACTTAGCAGTCAATGCAGTTGCCTTACAGGACCACATTTTACATGATCTTCAACTTGGACATCTCTCAGTAGCAGACCCTTGTAAGACAAAAGTGAAAAAGAATGAGAACAAGTCAAAATCTCTGAAGAGAGACATAACAGCCATAATAGATACTGGGATTAGAAAAACTATAGAGGGCCCCAAAGTGGAAGATCCAGAAAAGGAATATGTTCTAGATCCCACGCCACCACCGCTAACTTTAGGTAAGCTATCTGGTCATTTGTCGGCTTCTCAAGCTGGACAGTACCCTATTTATAGGGCTGAAAAGCAATGGTGTATTTGGGGTAAAAATACAACCTTAACATTTTCATTTTATTGGCAGATTCTGACAGCCAAGTATGTTATTTGTAAGTCTTTAAATGCCAACTGTTCACCTGCCAAGGTTTTGTTTTTTGTTTGTTTGTTTGTTTTTCACTTCTGAGATGAACTATTGGTAGAATTGTCAAATAAACAAGAAAGCTGTCAGCAATACTCTTAAGTTACAGCAACAGGGCAGGGGACTTGCCTTTGGGAGTGAATTCCAGGCTGTGTGCACTGTGCCTGGCTTTATCTTGTGCCCTGTGGCACTCTACATAAAGCCAGAGTTGCTCTGTGCTTCTGTTTGTTTGCATATTTTTGTTGGCTTTGGCCTTCAACTCTCAATCTCCCTGCTTCGGCCTTGTGAACGCTTGACTTACAGGCATGTGTCTGCATCTTTGTGTTTGGTGAATGTAGTTTCCATCTGGCATTTTCTAGAAGAGCCTGGTTCCACTGAATTAAAGACAAATTTCAGGTGGTGCCTTTCCTCCTTAACCAGCTTCCTCACCTCCAGTTGAGGCAGCAGTGTCTTTACGTTGGTGCACAGCCCCAGCAGTAATCCTTCTACTCCTCAGCCCAAACCTTGCCTTGAATCTGTGTAGTGACTCCTCACTTGAACTAAATGCCTTGATGGTCCTCATTTCAAGGGACCCTTCCCAAAATTTTCACAGGTGCAGTGCTTTCTGGTGAAACACTTTGACATCAGTTTAAATACCATCCACAAATTTAGTGCCTTTTCTGTCTTAATTGGATCCCTGCTATACACTGCAGCCATAATTTTTTTTCCAATGAGAAAAGGTCTCACTGTGTAGTTTGAGGTGCCTTAAACTCAACCTTCCAGACTCTGCTTTCCCACCATATTACAGGGGTAAATAAAACTGTAAAATTCTCATGAATCTATTTTTTTGTATTTATTGTTTGGCAGAATGAAGATTTAGTTTTACCTTGGCAACCTCAGCATATAATTGTTTTCTATGACATCAATAACTTTCCCGTTTCACTTAAAGAAAGCCCTTTAGTTCCTCTCTTGGGCACATCTGAGTGGCCCGCATCTCTGCTATGTTGCTCTGGAGCCTCAACAAACCCTAAGGCTGTAGTACTGCCATAGTCTGTCTGACCACTAAGACTACTGAAGAGGGACAAGGGTACATCATATATACAGTCTGATAACTAGACAGGAATGGAACACAGGACAGTGAGATTTCGTTTAACTGCTTAGATGGGCAAAAATTGAACTTATGAATTACTTCTGGAATTTCCCATTAAATATTTTCAGATTATAGTTGACTGTGACTCATTGAAACCCCAGAAAGTGCAACCACAATAAGGAATCATGACTTCAGTGGATAATTAGCTCAGCATTAATTCCCAGGTTTCTATCACTATGGTAGTATGGTAAGGCCACAGAATTCTTTATACCATTCTTATAATCTTTTGTAAGTCTGAAGTTGTTTTATACTGGGAAGTTAGAAATAAAAGATTTCTAAGTGATTAGGCATGGAAAATAGGTTTGGTTAGGGCTGTTGTGTTGTATCATAGGTGACAAAGACTAGAGGTAGTAGAAGGCCTGCACAGCACACAAAAGAAACTCTCTCATCAAGCAGTTACCTGTTTTGCACCCATTTTGTTCTTTTAGCTGCTGAGGTAAGGAGCAGAAAGTTCACACGTTTGGTTACAAGTACAGAATAGCCAGCCAAGAGTGACAAGAATAGCTATTCAAGAGTGACAGGCTGACAGGCACCTTGAGAGAAAGCCTTGTCTCTGGAATTCACCAAGAAAGCCTATTCTCTGCTCTACTGCTATGAGGTACTGCTTTGAGGTACTATTACAGATACAGGTTTGTGCAGTTCAGAGTATGGCCCTTGACAGTCATGTCACCTACAGTAAGTCTAGGCCCATCAGTAGTCTAAGAATAAATAAGGGCTGAGCTCATTGCCCAGTACAATAGGAGAGGCTCTGGGCTCAATTCAGCTTTTTGTTTCTTCTCCTGATGATTTTAGTGTTGGTATATTTTTACCAGAAGTAAATCTAGTGAAGTAAGTTAATCTCACCTGTATTATCAGGTGAGTTTGAGATATAGGTGCTTTTCACGGGATTTTTGTTTGTGTATGATTTCACAGGTAAAGGTGTGTGTGTGTGTGTGTGTGTGTGTGTGTGTATGTGTGTAGAGCACAGGTTGGTGTCAGTGTCTTCCTCAGTCACTCTCTACCTTATTTTTTGAGACAGGGTTTCTCACTAAACTGGAGCTCACCATTTCACCTAGACTGGCTAGCCAACAAGCTCTAAGGATCTCCTGATTTGCCTTGCCCACACTAGAGTTATAGGTCTTTTCCATAGATGCTTATGTGGATGGCCCTTTACTGGCTGAGTCACTCTACACAAACACTTTGGGCACTCATTTTATAATTATCTCCTTTTCTTATTCTGTATTTTTCCCTTGTGCTTTGTATTTTATCTAGATAAATTTCATTAGAAATGTCTCTTTGGAAAAAAAAGACATTTTAGATTTATACCTACTATTAGATCTGGTTGCATTTTAGCCCGTTTTCTTGGAATTTCTGCTGTTGTCATTTCCTTTTTGATTCTTTCACTTTGTTGTATTTCCTTTTCCTAGCATCTTAGGTAAAACATCTGTTTGCAGACTTTGTTTTCTGGCAACTGCATGCAGATATACCCATCCCTGTGAACTGCTATTTACCTCCCATGTTGACACAAATGTTCTCAGACCTACTTAGCTCTTGGTACTTATGTCTCCCCAATGTCTTTTTGGTTTTCTCTACACCCCAAATTATTGATTCCCATGGGTTGTGCATCTGTTATGTGTCTTTTCCTGGGAAAACATAGAAGTCTATTTACCTAGAAAATATATCCACTTTCTGTGAGATTACCTTTATGTTCTAGCCTTTCAAAGTATATTCTTACTTCTTCCATGAATTTTTCTAGGACCAAGAGTACCTTTCTGATGGGCCCTCTGTGCTGGGTTGATTTTTTTTTTTTTTAATGTACCTCTACTGCTATTTAGCAGTTTGTAGATACTGGTTTACATTTACAGTCCTACCAGCCCTATGCCCAGGAATATTACTGGTACTTTTTCAAAGTGAGTCTCCCATGGGATATAAGCTCAAGTTATGGGTACTTATAAGCCTCTTACTTAAAGAATGTATCCTTACATAGCATGTTATTGATGTGCACTTTATAACTGTCATTGGTGAGGGCAGCAAGGCTAAGTGGAAGAAGGCAGTGCTATAGGCTGACTGTTAAATTAGGTGAAAAACAAGAAGGAAAAAAATCAGTGTTCTTCAATTTCTATACAACTAAATGTCAGTCCTCTTGCTTGAAAATCACTCAGCATTCAGAATGATGACAAAGTCTGTATAATAAAAACATAAATCATTGAGAGTGCCAAATATGATCACTGCCCTCCATAGAAAAGCACCTTGCTGTGTGTTGTGAAAGGCTGCATAATGCCTCCCTAGAATATCTGCATGCAGATTGTTTCTTAAAAATTACATGTGGTGACAACTAGGGTAGTCAGTAATCCAATTAAAGGGGAAGGCCTGTTCTGACACCTTCTCCACTATTGCTAGGAGTCTTAGCTGGGGTCATTCTTATGGATTCCTGAGAATTTCCCTGGCACCAGGTTTCTCCCTAACCCATAATGACTCCCTCTATCAAGATATCAAGTTCATTGCTCTCCTCCTCCGTCCCTCCCCCAACTCAGTCTTTTTGATATCTCATATTCCCATCCCTTCCCTTCTACCCCCTCCCAGTTTAACCAGGAGATCTTAACTATTTTCCTTTCCTGGTAATTGTCATCATAGAACCTACATCCAGCACTGGGCTGAGCTCCTGGAGTTCAGTTGAAGAAAGGGAGGAGGGATCATATGAACAAGGGAAATCAAGACCATGATGGGGAAAACCATAGAGACAGCTGACCTGTGCTAGTGGGAGCTCACAGACTATGGACTGACAGCTGGGGAACCTGCATGGGACTGAACTAGACCCTCTGAATGTGGGTGACAGTTATGTGACTTGATCTGTTGGGGGGGGGCAGAGCTGGCAGTGGCACCAGAACTTATCCCCAGGACATGAACTGATTTTTTGAAGCTCACTCCCTATGGTGGGATACCTTGCTCAGCCTTGATACAGGGGGAAGAGGCTTGGTCCTACCTCAACTTGGTATGCCAGACTTTGTTGACTCTCAAGGAAGGCCTTAGCCCCTCTGAGGAGTGGATGGGGGTGGGAAGGGCAGGAAGCTGAGGGGGGAGAGAAGGAGGGAGAGGGAACTGGGGTTGGTATGCAAATGAAAAATATTTTTTAAATAAAAAAATTATATGTGACTATGTATGCTAAAATACACAAGCTTTCATTGTGTCTTATCTTTCCTGTAGCCCAAAAACTGGGCCTCTTGCCACCTCCCCCATTGCCACTGTCATCAGATGAATGGGAGAGGGTGAAGCAGAGATCCCTCCTGCAAGGGGACTCCATGCAGCCATGTCCAATATGTAAAGAAGAATTTGAGCTCCAGCCCCAGGTACCTAACATAACAGACAGAGGTTTAGATCAGCAAGACAGTGCTTCTCCTGTGTTAGCCAGAGTGACACCCAGTTCCATGCTCCCTTGCAACTTTCAAATACTTAACATTTTCTCTACCACCCCTAAAGTGTGTGTGTATGGCTGAACACCATCACTTGACACGTCCACTTACTGGTGTGACACAGTCCAAGTATGCCATTTGCATCAAAGGATGCTTTGAATATCTTCAAAGAACTATGGAAGCATCCTGGTACACAGTAAAAAATCTTTATTCGCACATCTCTTAACATAGATGGGTGGTTATCCTGGTGTATAGAAAGCTCATGAGCTGCCACACAGACTCATTGCTGTGCCTGACTAAATTTCCAGCTCCAAGGAGCCAAGGTCACTCATGCTTTCAGAATTTGGGGAGAAATGTGGTTTCCCCAAAATGCTTTTGCATAATATAGCCTTAGCTTCTACATTTTAGGCAGCTGAGAAAACCCAGCATGCAGCCAGGCTTTGGTCCCAGCCAAAGATCCCAAACTACATGGGCTATCCTGACCTCTCAAGCTTAAAAATGCTTCATTATCAGCAAAAAGCTCACTGTCACTACACTTTTGCTCTTCAGTAATGTGAATTAAGATGCTTAAAGTACACTTTCATTCTAGTTCTCCCAGAAAACCTAATCTTTGTAGGAGTTGGATATTGGAAAGATTTCAGTCAGCCCTTGAACCACAGAACTGTCATAAATAGTATATAATTTAGTGCTGGAGTACAAGATCATTAAAGAAAGCTGCAGGGACTCTTCCAGCCTAAGCAACTCATTTATTGTCCTGTACATGTTTAACCTGGCTGGATGAAGAATGAAAACTTAAATATCTCAGAGTGTTATGTAAGCATTTCACTAATCTTTGTCATTTTGTTTGGTTAAAGATACAAACACTATCGTGTTAATCTTGCATTTTGTTGTAACAAAAAATAAAAACTCAAAGACTGATATTGAGGTTCAAGTTTCAATCTGAAGAAAGAGAAGTGGCCAGCCACTAGCTCTTACCTCTATCTCAGCCTGAAAGGGCTGATCTGTCTCCAGAAGTTCTCCACCAAGCCTCAGACTGCTGCCTCTCCTCAGCATGGCTGGAGAATAAATCTCTAATAAGATCCTTTAGTTTCTCCTTTTATACCTGTCTCCACCCAGCCATATCATTCCTGTCTCCACCTCTCCAGTGCTGGGATCAAAGGCATGAGCTCTGTTACTCTTTACTTTTATGTAGCACAGTGTGGCCTTGAACTCAGATCCAGCTGCCTATCCTGAGTCCTGCAATTAAAGGCGTGTGCTACCCTACCTGGCTTTATGGCTAGCTAGTACGGCACACTTAGTATTCCTGTATTAGATTTCTTCCTAGTTAAAAACCGTTTTTTTCTGGATTTGAGAGAAGGCTCAATGGTTTAGAGTACTTACTGGCTGTTCTTCCCAAAGACCCAGGTTTGATACCCAGTACCCATACAGTGGCTCACAACTTTAGTTCCTGGAGATCCTATGCCCTCTTCTGACTTCCATGGGCACAAGGCATACAAATCAGATATACATGCAGGCAAAATACCCACACACAAAAAAATAAATAAAAACAAAAATCAATTTTCCCAACATAGGGTAATTTTGAGATACTTTCAAGTAATCTCTTATCTCTGGAGTAGGTGATACCATTTAACAGTGAGAACAGGATTCACAACAGGCCAACTCAGAAATTATGGCAAAACAGAAATAGATTTAGTCCTCACTTGTGTAGCTATCACCATAATCTGTTTGCCTGTAATGAATATATGGATATCTCAAAGTATAATATTCTAATATAGAATGATATAAAAATATATTTAGACCAGATTGATATCAGTTGATAAAAGACTTTGAAAAATTACATTGAAAAAAATCACAGATGGTTTTAATACAGTAGTTTATTAAACTTAAACTTACAGTTGGTAGAACCCAGAAAAGGTTTTAGGGGGCTTAACTCACAAGTTAAAAGCACTGGCTGCTCATCCAGAGTACCGGGGTTCAATTCATAGCACTCATAGGGTGCTCACAATCACTTTGAACTCCAGTTCCAGGAGATCTAATGGATGTGGTACACAGACATACATACAAGCAACATACCCATACTCCTAAAATAAAATATTTTTTTAAAAAAGGGGGGGTTTCCTTAATCCCACTTAAGAAAAGTACAGAGTGAGCACTAAAAACGGTAAGACATTCATCTACCCATTCACTTTCTCCACAACCAATTATACCTACCCATGGCTAATGGTCTAGGATCCTTTCTCCTTACTGAGTTTAAGCTAGTTTTGTTTTTTGTTTTTCCAGGCCAAATATCACTGATAGGTGGGGAGTTTGACTCAAGGGTGAAGTTTGCTTATGAACATACTTGCTCTTCATTTAAAGAGAAAGATGTAATTTGTCTCCCCAATGTCTTGCTATTTAAATATAAGACTCTCAGAATTGTCATAAAAAGCTTTGATTTTAAGTTTAAGAGTGTAATTTAAATGAGCAAAGTCCTGTAAAAGATGTTGCTTATTGTGTCTCTGTTCCTTCTACCAAGTCCACACCACATGTACGGGTTCCTTCCTGCCCCTCCCCATCTACCTAGCAGTGTCTACCTTGCCACTCCTCTTACTGGCTTAATATGAAGCATGATGTGTTTTCCAGTATCAGGGTCATTGGCTTTGTTTAGGTGATTTGTTTAGGCTATACTAAACTTACAAATGTACGTGTGCAAGTGTTCAGCTGTCTGAATACTAACCTTTGAGTATTCAGATGTGCTTGTAAAGGGTGCATTATTAACCCAGACTCTGCTCTCTCCTGGTGGACAGGTGCTGCTTTCCTGCTCACATGTATTCCACAAGGTAAGTAAGTAATGCTATCCTGGGCCTGGCCTCCTTCCTCACGCATTTGAAGAGCCATCTGTTGATCCATGAGCACCATTTGTAGTGAGAAACATGGCTTTAGGGTAGACTGCAGCTCATCCTGCTGTGAAAATCATGGGTTCTGTGTGACAGAACCACTGACGTTTATGTAGCAGATTGTTAGTACTGCACATCAAAGCTACTGATAGCTTAATTCCTGCCGGCTGTTTGCAAAGCAGTCTGACAGATAGCATTTTACCTTTATGCCATTGACTTTCAGAGGGTTTTGAAGTCTCTGCATGCATGTTCTTGTGGGAAAATCATTTTTGGAACAGGTTTCATGAGGAAGGTGTTAACATCTGATGAAACCACTTCACTTCATAATATAAATTGGACAGAGTTTCAATTATGAGAAAAAGAACACTGTAATTACATTAGAAGTAAAAATGTTGTTTATAAGTAATTACTTGTAAAGTTTTAAGTGAAATCCTTTTCTTCAGGCATGCCTTCAGGCTTTTGAAAAGTTCACAAATAAAAAAACCTGTCCCCTCTGTAGAAAGAACCAATATCAAACCAGAGTGATACATGATGGGTCCCGCCTGTTCAGAGTAAAGTGTGCCACCAGGTAAGAGTGTCCTCAGTGCCCTGCAGAGGGGAGACAAATGTTTGCAGCTCAGGCTGTGATTATTAATCCAGATGGTCACCAGAGCAGCCCAGACTGGGAGGAAAACTGATTTGTTAAAATAAGACCACTAGGGGCTGGAGAGATAGCTCAGTGGTGAAGAGCACTAACTGTTCTAGAAGACCCAGGTTCAATTCCCAGCATCCACATGGTGTGGTTCACAACTATCTATAACTCTAGTTCCAGGGAATTGGCTGTCCTCTGACTTCCATGGGCACCAGGCACACAACATGCATATACATATTTTTAATTTAAAAATGAGGTAATTAGGTGGTCATCATTTCTACATGTGTTTTAGAATCCAAGCCTACTGGAGAGGGTATGTCGTTAGAAAGTGGTATAGAAACCTGAGGAAAATAGTCCCTCCTACAGATGCCAAGTTAAGAAGAAAGTTCTTTGAGGAAAAGGTGAGTGTGTATCACTACCTGTCTACGCACACACACGGTGAGTGAATATTTGGGACTAGTAAAGCCAACAGGAAGTACAATTGCATTTTGCTTCACTTTTATAGCTTTATGCTCAAGTTAGTGGCCTCCAACCTCAGTGCATAGAAAAATGACATTCAAATCAGCTTTAGCTTGACCATTGTGTGCTGTTTGGTGATAGCTCGCTGAACCTTGTGGGGTCACCTCATTACAGAAATAGGCAATTCCTGTCTGTGCTCACATATGCTCACTTTCCATTTTTTATGTTACATGACAAGGCTGTCTTAGGTAGGGTTTCTATTGTAAAGAGACACCGTGACCACAGCAACTCTTATAAAGGAAAACATTTAATGGGATGGCTTATAGTTCAGAGGTTCAGTCCATTAGCACTATGGTGGGACATGGCAACATGCAGACAGACATGGTGCTGGAGAAGTAACTGAGATTTCTACATCTTGTGCAGGCAACAGAAAGTGGTCTGAGGCACTGTGTGTAGCTTGAGCATGTATGAGCCCTCAAAGCTCATCCCCACAGTGACACATTTCCTCCAACAAAGCTATACCTACCCCAACAACACCACATCTCCTAATGGTATCACTCCCTTTGGGGGTGTTCTTTTAAATCACCACATGGGAGGTGCTTGTCTTACAGTTTTCTGTGTCTCCATTTGAACAAAAAAGACTGACAGGTCTAGCCATTGTGAGTAGGTACTTTGGGATTCTTTTTCTACCTGGGATGTGAATGTCACTACTGGCCTAAGAATCAGTTATAAAGACAAACATAGTAAGCACTAGATTTTGTATTTGTTGCAAACATTAGTATCCTTCCAACTTATTTTTCATGTACCTTGTTTTAGGTTTGCTAATATTCTGTGTTTGTTTATCCCAACATGCTGGCCTCAGATCACTGGGATAAACTCCTCAGCCAGACATGATGATCCATGTCTATAGTTCTAATGCTTGGGAAACTGAGGTAGAAAGGCTGCTTGAATCTATAATTTTAGGCCAGCCTAGGCACCATAGCAAGACCCCATCTCAAAAAAGAAAAGGATTGGGCTGGAGAAATAGCTCCATGGTTAAGAGCACTGGCTGCTCTTCCAGAGGACCTGGGTTCAATTCCCAGCACCCACATGGCAGCTCATAGCTGTCTGTAACTCCTGCTCCAGAGGATGCTGTCTGTAACTCCTATTCCAGAGGATGCTGTCTGTAACTCCTATTCCAGAGGATGCTGATGCCCTCATACCTGCAGGCAAAACACCAATGTACTAAAGTGAAAATAAATAAATTATAAAAAATTGAAAAGAGAGCTGAGATGTTAGTTCAGGAAAAAGAAAGAAAATAAAAGAATCAACTTGTCATAATCACACTGTGCTATCATCCCCTATAGAAGTATATCACTGACAAGCTTAGTTTCTTTGGTTTTCCATTTAGGATGATGACTATAACCACGACAGCCTTTAATGAAAAACATGGTTCCTTATTTTCTAACTATTTTCCTTATTATTGCCACCTTTAGCATAAGACTAATCACAACCACATACTCCCCTGTCCCAGAAGAGACTCATTTACCTCAGAGGAAGAAATGCATGTGTCTGTGACCCTGTGTGTGGTTTTTCCCTTACCTGGGTGAGCCAGCCCACTCCAGCTGTGCTAGAACTCCATTGATTATAAAGCAATATAATTTTTTTAGTATGTTTCCTAGGCAGTAAAGGGACTGGTATCAGCACAAGACACCCCAAGACCAAGTTCTCAGTACAAAGGAGATTTATTTGCCCCACAGGGACAAAGGACAGGGAATAAGAGACAAAGACAGAATACAGAAGAAGGGAAAAGGGGGAAGAGAAAAGGGGAAGGGGACAAGGGAGAGAGGAAGGAAAAGGTATTTGTCGTAGAGAGGCAAAGGAGTGCCTCTGGATAGAGAGGAGACAGGCAGGGCCCATAGCAGTTCATGGATGTAAAAGGGGAAGTCCCAGTGTTAGGATGAGGTGTTTAATTTTAATTGGGCATGTTAACTGGGTGAACTAAAGGAGACTTCTGATTACTGGACTTCAGTATTTGATAGGTGAACCTTGGTAGTCAGCCTCAGGAGGAGGAATTGGCCAAATGAGGGAATAGACATTGGTGGCTAGCTTTAGGAATGTGATCTAATGGTTTTTAGCAAGGAAGAGGGAGTAGGGGGAGGGGCAAGACCTTCCAGAGCCATGTTTGTCATGCTTGGACAGCTAGAGCCCCTTCAGGCGTCAAATAAGTATTTGTTCCAAGCAACAGTCATTAGAATATGTAAATCCTTTGGCATGTTCCTGTCTACTGTTGGGTGAAAAGTTTCCTGTTTTCCCACATTGCTAGCTTCTTTCTCAAACACTGCCACTTGCAGAAGGACTAAAATTGAGTAAAAGTCCTGCTCATTATCTAGATGAAAAGAATGTTTCTGTTTGCACTTCCCGGGATGAGTTGTTTTCCCCACACAGAAGACAGCATGCCAGCCTCCCTTCAGGTCTGACCTCAATCAGGGCATCATTAGTCAAGACAATATCCTGAATAAAAACCGGGATTGGCACTCTGGGCCAGTTTATCATGTTCCAGACTTAGAGCTCATTTTCATCTTCCCTACAGACTGATGTCTTCTGCAGTTGTTCATATCTTTATGTGTCCTTCTGTGCATTATATTCAATCGTTTGATGGTCATTGTTCTCTGAGTCATTCTTGGTAATTTTTTTATTTTATTTTATTTTATTTTATTGTCTTTTTTCTTGAGAGAGTCTCACTATGTAGTCTAGGCTGGTCCTGAATTCATAGGTTGAAGTCTAAGTGGTGACTACAGGTAAACACCACTGAGCCAGGAGCCCCTTATGAGTTCTAATATACAATAATATATGGCTTACAGGTCAAAGTCGTTGTTTTTGTAAAATTTTAAGCTAGACTTGATAACCATCTATATGTGGATAGTTCTTTCGTGTTGACATGTAATGGCTTTGGAATGGCTAGGCTATACTTTGCTTTCACATAAAGCAGTCATGACACTCAGTTGATGGTTCTCACTGCAGTAATATTTATCTATGAGGTTGTGACACAGCACATAAACTCATGTGGTCTGAGAACATGTGAAAGACACAATGTTTTCAGAGCCCACCTATGATATAGAAGTTTATAAAGCTCTGTTCTGAAGCAAAGGGAGAGCCTGTAGTGTCTGAGGCCCATAGCTCTGTTCCATGTCTCAAAATGTTTTTCAGACACTGAAAACATTTGTTGTACCTTTACTTGCTACCCCATTGTTATTTTCCCTAGAGGTTTTTAAAGTCCCCAAATAATTCATTCCATGTAAGAAAATACATTTTTAGTTTCTTTTAATGACAAGGCAAACTAAGACCAGCCATCAAATGAAGGCAGATCTCTGCTCACCACCACCTTCTATCCTGCAGGGAAGAGCTGGGAACCTTTGCAGGCCACAAGGGCCCCTCTGGCTTTATGTGTCTATCACAGCATCAGTTCCACTTCTCTGAAAAGGACAGCACTTTGGCAGTTGAGTCCACTGTGGTCTGAGACTCTTGATTAGTAATCAAGAACAAACCATTTGTTGTCCATGGGAGGGCAGGAAACAAAAGTGAAAGGATGGATGTGGCTATTCTAAGGAAGTAGAAGCTGAGCATGAGCAGGAATAGATATGCTAACAGCTGAGAAGACAGGTTTGAAGGGTGGAAAGATGGTTAGCTGATAAAATGCTGCACAAGCATGAAGACCTGATGCTCAACACCCAGATAAAAATATCACACACTTGTAATCCCACGTGGGTACAGGAGGATCTTGGGAGCCCAGTGGCCAGCCAGCCTAGTTAAGTGAAAAAAAAGTTAAAGTGAAGAGCAATTGAGAAAGATACTAGACATCACCCTCTAGCATACACTTGTACATGCATACACACACATACATATGCATATGCATATACATATATACATACATATATATATGACACATACACAAGAGAAAAAAGCAGATTTCAGCCAGAAATTTGAAACAATAAATAAGGTGATTATAATTTTATAAAGTAACAAAATCCATCAAGAATATTCAGTAAAGGCTGGGCGTTGGTGGTACACACCTTTAATCCCAGCACTAGGGAGGCAGAGGCAGGCGGATCTCTGTGAGTTCGAGGCCAGCCTGGTCTACAGAGCTAGTTCCAGGACAGGCTCCAATGCAATATAAAGAAACCCTATCTTAAAACAACCTCACCCCCCCCCAAAAAAAAAAAAAAAACATGTGCAGTGAATGTAGTATATAAGCACTGGACATTTGTATCCCCTACTTCTTAAATCATACACTCTTGGATATTAAGAGTCATATAGGTCCAGATACAATAATATAGGATATAATTACCCTGACTCTCACAAAAGATAAGCTAGACCAAAAACTCAACAGAGAAAACTGTGCCATAACTCAAGATGACATGTAGGGATTGTTCTACCCAACAGCTATGAAACAGAGATTCTTCTCAGGAGCCTATGGGCTTTTTCTCCAAAATAGATCACATTTTAGGCCATAAAGGAAGAGTCAATAAATTAAAAAAATAAATCAAAGTAATGCATCAGATCACAGTGGAATAAAACAAGAAACCAGTACTGAGAACTTTAGAACCTGTACACATGTATGGAGACCAAGCAAATTTGCTTCTAAATGACTGTGAAGACACTGGATAGGAAAGTGTCAAGCAGCATTCAGAATCTTGTCAGTGCAGCAAAGGCAGTGCTGTAGGGGAGTTCATAGAAATGGGGCTCATTTACCTTAAAAACTCAGTTACTGTAAGTTGATAAAGATGGACCGCAAGACCTCCAAGTAGAACAAAGTGAACCCAAGATCAGAACTAAATGATACAATTGGAGCAGAAGTTGACGAGATGGAGACTGGAAGAGCCCAAGAGTCAGCAAAACGAAGAACTGGTTCTTTAAAATGATATCTGGGATCAACGAACATTAGCCAAAGTAACCAAAAGAT